GGAATGCTGAAAGAACGGCTCGTTTCAGATTCACCGCCCAAACTGGATCCGCTTCAGTGGGGCACACCCCAACAATCTCTCCGTCATCGAAACCGAATCTCAATGAATGTGCCTCGAGTGTGCGTGCCCAATCCTTTGGAACATCCATACCAGTCAGTGATACGCCACTCAACTGAAAGTTTTCCCGTTGACGAAATTTTCTGCGAATGCTGAGAATTTTCCTCTTCTCCCAGAAAACTTTCGAAAAATTCACAAATTCAAACACTCCCAAAAAATCTGCTGATCGAAAATCTGAATTTCAACCAAAACTGAAAAACTGCCCAAATTTTCATACCAAATTTCTTCCACTTGTATTCATGAAATAGGATGATTGTTATATTAGAGGCGTTTATTGATACTTTGCTAATGAAAATACCTTTAGCGAGAATTCACATGGTGAATGCTTGACGATATGTGCCCGGGCCCGTTGTGTGACAACACTTTGGTACTTGCCCTGGGGTACTTTTAATGTTGCCGTAGAGGTTGTATCATAGACATACTCTTTATGCTCTTCATAATGCAATTCACCGGATACGCCTTCAATCAAATTCATCTTACCTAATATCAAGTCATTCATGTCAACATCAGGAAATACCTTAAAGAATACCCTCTCTTAAAGAATACTATTGAGAATTCCTCTTAAAGAATACTATTGCTGATGTTTCTGATTCGACCAGAGTATCGGAAGTAACTTCACGATAAATTGTTTGTTTTAACAGTTTCTTTTTGTTAGTTGACATTCGAATGGTGATAACTGATATATGTGTTGATATGATATGATATGATAACTGCACAGCAACTATGAGTGATCAAACGGAATTGCGTATTTGAGAGTGCTATTTGTATATCGTTATTCTCATATTCTCATCGAATAAGTAGTGTTCGATTGAACGTGCATCGTGAACCTCATTCGACCACGGGTACATTCTTCATCTGATAAGGGACAAGTAAATAATGTGTTGTCTTGTCAAGAGTGAATATATCGTAGATGATAACATTATGATTGCTGGTTTAAAAACATTCTCTTACATTCATTATCAATAACACATCTGGGAGTTTCATTTAGTCGCAATAAATATTCATTTATACGACTGTGGGCATTCCCTATGAGGAGTACTTCAAGCAAACGGAAACATAATGAATCTCAATTGCAATGAGGAGATTATCGCATTCACTAGCGATTACCTAAAACTATCCCAAACCAGAATCGTTAGCGGGGTTGTTAAAGCTAATGCGAGGATCGCTTGCTAGTGGCATGATTTGCTAGTGAGTTTTGTCCCCATTTATGGCTTGTACTTCAATTAAAGTAATCTACTACCATCTAGTTCGGTGAGAATTGTTAGAATACGAGTTTATACAAGTGTATACTGTAAAATCTGTACGTGTATGTGGAGAATTTGAGCAGAATTAAATTTAGATTCTAAACATCTCATAGCTCAGCTACTGTTTGATCACTGATTATGATCAGTCTGTTCAAGGAAATCAATTGGAATTGGATGATCAATTGGAATGTAATATACTTCTCTCGTATGATCAGGAAAACTTCCACAATCATTCCCACATCACAGGCTCACTGTAAATGAGAACTTGTAAGACTCGGAAGTTCCGGTCTTGGAAAATGAGTTTTCCGGTGCAAAAGTTTTGGAATACGTTGCGGCCAAGCGATTCTTTAATTAATTGTCAAATTGCTCATCGTTATTTCTTACTACTATCGGTAGTCGTTGGGGCTAACACTACTATCTCAAATCAGTGTATTGTAGTCAAAATTGCTCTCGTTCATAATGTTATGTCAACAAATACAATGCTTTCTATAATACTCAAATAATCAGTTGAGATTGTGTCACTCCTTTTTTTGCTCAAATTTCCGTTTGTGCAAGAAAAAATGATTGCATTTTAATGTGGGAAAAATTTGATTAGTATATGAAAAGTGAAACGCAAAAAATCGCTTTGTCAGAGTGATCAAGTGATAAGTTAACGAATGTTGAGTTTAATACTTTCTGCTTCCAATTTCATTTTTTAATAACTAAACGCGACTAGTCGGAGCTGGAATGACAGACGGAGTATTGAGGTGAGAAGACATTCACAAATCCGTTACCAGTAACTAAAGTTCTGAGTTTATAAAAAAATCCTTATCCTACGCAGATAATCCAAAATGCACATGTCATGGTTACTATACTTCTGCATTGGAGAGAAAATATTTTTGTTCTATACTTTCTAAGGGAACTATCAAAGTTCCCCAATGTTTCCTATGATTCAATGAGTACGCTGCCTGATCCAGAAATTTGAATTGCACTGTTTGTACGAAAATGAAACAAATTATTTTATGATGCTGTTTTGAAGGGGTATCGCATTGTCCTTTGTACTCCTCACCAAACACATCGTATCATATCATTTCATTTCAGGAATAAGCCTCAAAATAACAACCATAATAAAATGTTGATAACAAAATATCAGTCAAGAAATAATAACAGTGCAAACGGTGTATTTGCAATCGTTTCTTTAATGTGCAAAACATTCAAGCAAATAAGTCTCTGCAATAGGTAAATACATAAATATTTCTGCAAAAACATCGAAGCAATTTCAAAACTAAAACCAACCAGAGCATTTCTGTGCACAGTTCGCGTGGCCAACTGCTCGAAGTCGTCGATGACGATGGCCAACTACAATAATGGCATCAATAGTATCAATCCATCAAATAAACATTTTAAAGTTGAATTAACAAATTTTCATTCAGTACGATTAACAGTAAACCTTGACCACATAGGTCAGGCTCCAACTATTATAGTCCAATTTACTAATTTCTTTGAATGTACAACTCAAGATGTCCTCAAGATTATCGATGATTGTCATTACCTGGCCCTTATGAGTTCAGCCGAATAATACCTTAAGTTTCTCAAACTAACCTACCAATTCACTCATTATCATCTTATCAGCATATTATCTCCTATCCCCTCGAGAAACCAAATAATATGCGTAGATACTTTCATTTAATTGTTTCAAATACTCTGTGAAGAATTATTTCTGCGTTTCTGCATTCCTTTCACTTAATTCATTATCAAGATATCTTACACTAACTTCACTTTATAGTTCACAGTAATATCAGCTCATTCTAATTCTCAGCGATACTACTTATATGAATCAAAGTACTGGTAAAATTCAAAGTAATGATAGGGCTTATGGTAAGTAAACTTCAGGTACAGCAAGACGTATACTGATCCGTGGAAACTGATGGGTATACTGAATATCTACTGTGGTATAACTTTAATTGTATATTTCACGGTAATATCAGTTCATTCTAATTCTCAACGATACTACTTATATGAGTTTCATTCCAATTATAAGTTTCATTCCTTCTAATTCTCAACGATAATATAAGATCAAATTCAAAGTAATTCAAAGTTATGGTAAGTAAACTTCAGGCACAGTAACACATACTGATTCATGCAAACTGATGGGTATACTGACTATCTACTGTGATATATCTTTAATTGTAGTACATGTGAACTATTGAGCATTGAGTTCGACATTTTGCAAAAATTCAAACGCATTACTCTCCGATAATCCGGATTTGTAGCTACAGAGTTAAAGTAAATATGTGAATTTCAATATGATAAGTAAACATGATACGGTACTAACCGGCTAGCGAAGCAGTGCCCAGAAGTAAGAGAAGCGACCATACAATCCGCATGGCTCCTCGTAAACTGTTCCAAAACTGTTATTGTGTTGTTTAGAGCTGATAAAGTGAAATGATATGATAACAAGTAGTCTGTATTCGTGTTATCACTATACCATATTGGCTCATACTGTATCATAAATGCATTAGTCAAAAAGCAGCAGCAATATGGCATATACAATCTTTATCAAATATTCGTTATTATTACTGTTGTTGTTGCTTCATCTGAAGTAGTAAATAAACGCAGTATTCACAAATGTGCATACGCGTTTATAGATTTGTTTGTGTGTGCCTCACGACACTGCTGTATCTTATGCTGAACAGCTAGTTATCAATCATACGAGAATCTTGAAATGTATCACTGAGAGACTGATAAGCGTTCTGCGATAGTAATGATAATCATAAGAGGGATAATCAACGACGAGTTTGTATCAGTTCATAATGTGATCACTAGAAAACAGTGAAGGTAATGCTATTTGTTGCATCAAATACTCCATTTACTAGCGTTATCGCCCAGTTTTATCTTTCTTATGAACATCTATCACTGATTCTCCGCACTGAGTTCCGATTGAGTTCGATGTCTTTTTGGACTTCTCACTATCAAAATTTCATCTATGATGGCTATCATTCCATCAATCCCTCCCGTCTCCAGATTCCGCCAGCAAAAACAAATTTAGACTCCTGATCACCTCATGCATAATTTACCAATAGTTCCATGTGTCGCTCGTCTATGACTTGATATCTCAGAACCAACCACCACTTTTTCAGAAATCATAGGAGGAATAATTCCGACGACGTATCACGAACATTCCCTAAGAAGTCACATGAAACGAAAATGCATCCCTTATCTACTATCAAATTTTAAGCATTTACTTTCTTGTTTACAGTTTCAAGCACTCCAACACGCATGTGACTTCAAACTGAAAAACTTTTTCGATGCTATGAGTATGTTAAGAGTTGTTGAGTGTATCACAGCCCATCCACGCATTGAAATCATGTGACGAACTGACAGTCTCAACTGAACTCGTTCAGACGGCATGGGAGCCCGGAAAAATCACTCATTCCAAAAAAATTAATCTGTATCTCCTCATGTCAGTTTTGTCACCAAAATCACCAAAAAATAATCAGTATCTCTCAATAGACAACATATTAACGAAGAATTTTTTCTTGACACTCATCTGCTTCCCATTCATTCCATTCCTGTCTGTCAATTTTCACTTGGTGTTTCAATGCAAATCTCAGATTCAACACTTTATTCCACAGTTCTTCGCATGTCTATCAAATGAATTTATTGTGCTTATGCGTCACCTTATCGTTTATTCAGCAGCATCAGCACAATCAAAATTTTTTCCTTTTACAATTCCTTTGATAGGCAGTTATTCTTCGTCTTCTTCTTCCAAACAACTCATTTTTACTTCCAATATCATCAATGACTTTGATTGATAGCTCCGTTCTCCACAACGTTCTTATTTATCAGCTATCTTATGTGCAAGCAACACTGTCAATGTGCTCTTATTATTGTTGTTATCATTATCAGTTGTTATTTTTCATACCCAAAGCAGCAATCACAGTAAATCAAAACAGAATAATTCACAAGGGATTATATATTTCCATTTGTTCACTAACATTACTATCATTATCACCATGATCTTGCTTATTTCTTCATTCAAACGTACGTCAATTAACTTCAGTTGATTGACGTTTCAATGAAGAATTCCATCATTCCACCGCTAACAACGACGGTATGATTGTTTCTTTCGAAACGAATTTCTCATTTCCTGTTCAGTGTCCCTCTTCAAGAGAATCACTTGCGATTCGCTCAATTGCTAGATATAAAATGAATGTTATCACTTAATTCAACTTTACATACTCAATCCAGATCTATTATATTTTCCAGCTTCCCGTTCCCATCTTTGTCATCCACTAATTGTAATTCTTCCTTTGGAATGCTGCTTTGCCGACAACGACATCCCTCTATTCAACTTTATATTTGATACTGAACGAAACCAATACACCATACCAAAAGATTATTTGAAAAAGCAACTGCTTCAGTCTTAACATATGACAAAGCAATACATCGTTAAAATAAACTAAACTATCACTTCATATTCATATTTCAGCCCATAATACAATTACCACAAGGACAGAAAATAACAAATACAAACGAATGAATAAATGTCATAAGCAAAACAGAAAGATGAATATATAAAAATCGCATAAGCAACTCATAAATAAATAAATGAATGATCACAGAACAGTCCCACAAAACAACAACCACAATACCAATAATACTAATAAAAAAAGAACCCAATAACGAAAGTTAAATCCTTTGAATCGGTTATTAATATCATAACAACACAAATATTAATGATTATAGCGAATCACCGATTATATTCATCACTTGACAGTTACCATTTATAGTATGAATCCAATGAAAATTGCACGTCTCCAGCGACAACGACCACCAGAAAGCATTGTTGCCCCGTTTTCTTCGCTACTTTTTATACTGTCTGTGACATGGCCGCTGGCTGTTGTTGAGACTGAGCCGGATTCTGTCTTGAAAGCATCTGAAGACATCAAAAGTCTTTGCAAATCCAAACAACCTCGAGTCACTTCATCACAATAACAGTAAAATTCATTTGTTTCTCAGAGCTCAGACAATAACTTCAGAAGAGAATTAAGAACCACTCCATTTACAAAGAAAACTTGAAAACTAACCGATAAAAATGCCCATTTCGAAAGGTAATTTGTGAATTCCTGCGTGCTACTCCATTTACAACGCAAATATCCGTATAAATTCGCTCCGTTCATCATCAGTCCCATCAAAGCCACTATCATCCACTCCCATTTCAACGTCAAAAACGCTATCGATACCAGAATCGCCCACATCAACGGTCCCACAACCAACGCACCCCAGAAAGCACGTCGTTCCAGTGGATCAAAACGACTCGAGTCCTGAAATCGCAAATAAATTCACCTAAAATTACCTCAGTCCACTTATAAGCGTAACAATCACACCAAACATTCGTTTATCTAGCAAAATCTCCCGCAAAACAATGTCTTAAACTCCACTCTATCCCGAAATTACGCCTAAATTTTCGCCAAACTAGCTCACTCTCAATTCCGGACAAGCTTGAACAAAGTCAAAGTCCGTTCAATCCTTTAAACCTCATTCAGCACTACATGAAGACATTTGAACATATAAATAGGTGAACTCTCTGCAATAACTCCGTAAAGATATTCTTGCTTAAACATAAAAGATATTCTCGTATACACAAACAAATATCATCTAAAAGGCCAAAATAAAGTCATAAAAGACACATCCATACATTTACCTTCGCCGACTCGAATCTCCAATGGTTGTTGCCCTCAGCATCCACGAAATTCCACCAACGAAGTCCAACCAACAATCTGCCTGTGATATTCTTCACTGTCCAAAAGTCTATCGACAACAGTGTCAACTGAAATTGTTCGATAATTTATCCAACTCTCTATCTCGCAATATCCAACAACTTCATAAAACCAAAATATCTCCATAACTGCAATACTTCCTTGTGAATGTTCAAAGTATCACTCAATTCAAAATCAGAATCAACGTACGCATATTAAAACCTATTCTGCATTACGCCTCAATTCCATCTAAAAAACATTAAACAAGCGATAATTCTGATTGAATTTCTATAAACGTTCACTTACAATGACGAGAAACTGAATGATGAAAGAGTTCGTGAAGAAATACGCAAAAACGTAAAAGAATATTGCGGCTGCCCGAAACGATACGTGTGAGAGCACGATTGAAGGGTGTCTGAAATCAACTGAACTCATCGAAACACTCATGGTTTGGTCTGTTCTGATCGTAAGATCACCTTATCTTACCACATACAATTTGTGCTCAATCGCTCTGTTCTCTTCTCACAATAATGTTATTGAGAGATCTTCAATAACTATTCGATAATCTAATTATTATCATTATCAGTATTATTATCACTATTATTATTTTTATTATTATTATCATTATCAGTACTATTATTATTTTTATTATTATCAGTATCATTATTATTATTACTATCATCCTACACTCTCACAATTAACAATAATCAGTAAATGTCTTCAGTTATAAAGGCAATAATCAGTTTAAGGTAAAGCGATTGCACAATAACCATATTGTGCTAGACTCTTATGTTGCCGAATCAAATTCGCTGAAATCATCATAACCTGATCTGCAACAATAACCCGAAAACCCTCAAATAACTTCAAAATCAAAGCCAAAACTCACGTGAACATTGCCAATCCCGTACGTCTCATTGCGGTGTCACCTCGATCATCGCCGAAATTCAACGACGTCTCGAAATTTGTTGCCATCACTTCTTCTTATTCCGTACTTCTTCAAAAACACAACTTACATCATCAATAAATTCTATCATTAAAAAATATCCGAACAAATCTTCAAATTTCAAATATCACCAAATAAATACTCTAATTAAAAACCCAACAACGTTAAGGTAATGCACGAACATGCACCAGTGCTCTTTCAAACAGCCAATTACTTGTAAACTATCGAATCACCAACAATACAATTTAAAACAAATTCTATTTATTCAATATATTCACATATTTACCTTCCTCCTTCCTATTATACCTCCTCACAACATCACAAATTCCTTTCAGCATCAATATTATCACAATCATAACTATCCAGTTCACCGTGCACATGTCAAAAACATAACATAAAACAATCATAATGCAAAGAAGATGAAACAATAAATATGGCGTAACTGATAACAATTCCGATCCATAAACCCAACCAAACATCAACAATAACTCTATCGTAATATACACTCAAATACAAGACACTTGGAATCTGACACTATTTAAAATGCCACAAAATGAGCATGAGACAACTCTTCATTATATAACTCTCCATTCCATCAAAACCTCACGAAAAACCAATTAAACAATAAGAAATTTCGATCAACTCATTGTCAATCACCACGACAATGAATATAATGCATCAGTAACGATATCTATGAACGCACATCTCTGCACTAATCACTTAACAACAATAACAATAACAGTTACACAGCCTATTCCAGAGGCTATCCATCATATTAAACAAAAATTAAAAAATGAGATCCAATAAGGCTCATCAACCTTTTAACTAACCATTTGAATGGCCCATCAATTCAACTGATTTCAGCGCATCCCAACAAAATTCATACTGCCAAATCGCTAATAATATCG